AAATATGAAACCAACAGTTAAGTGACCTAAATAATGAATTTGCATATGGGTTCTTCTATATGCAAACAAACTTATGAAATGTCATAGGCTAACGACAGTTATTCCTAGTGGAAAGTATTCTAACCTAAGTTCTTTTATAAGTTCTCTATGCAGGGAAAAGGAACTCATTGAGTACCACGAATGTCTCAGGCACTGTTGAAGCATTTACATTTATTTTCTCATTTCATATATACAAATTAAATTATGCTATTTTACTCTGTATGTATGTGTCCCTATTCTTTATAAACTGAAAACAACAGTATCAGTTGTCTCCTGTACTCAAAAGAAATGTCAGTTGGGTCATTAACATAAAATCTTGGACCAGGCATTGTGGGTCACACCTGTAATCCTAGGTCTTTGGGAGGAAGAGGTAGGGGGTGGCTTGAGGCCAGGAGTTGAAGACCAGTTTTAGGAACATAAGGAGAACTTACACACACACACACACACACACACACACACACACACACACAGGCACACACAAAATCTAAGAAGTACTGTGAACCCTATTATTGTGTGTGATATTTTTTTTATTTCGCATATTTTGGGGGTACAAACATTAAGGTTATGTACATTGCCCTTGCCTTCCCTACACCCTGGAGTCAGAGCTTCAAGAGTGTCCATCCTCCAGATGGTGCACATCACACTCACTATGTATGTAAATACCTGTCCCTTCCTCCCCCTTCCCACCTGCCCGACACCTGATAAATGTTTTTTTTTTTTTTAACATTTTGGTTACATTTTATATCTTTGTCTGTCCCTAGCAAGGGTTAGAGGTATGTCTTTCCCCTCCACAATACTCACCACATTCTTCAGATGTGGGACTACCCCCCAACCCCCAAATCCCTGGTGAACACCACCACCTTTCTGAATCCTTTAAATATAAGTACATTATATTATTTTATAAAGCCTGTATTAATCCTTTAGAACTAAGAAATATAAAATAGTCAATCATCTACATCACTTACTAATGTTAAAACACAGTTATATTTTCTAACACATGCCCCATGCACATAAAAAATGTCTTACGTGTCATACTCTTTTACCCTTTGGTTGTTGCCTTTTTAGAATCCTCTTTTCTTTTCCTTTAAATTGTTGTTTGAACTTTATAAGCTATTCTTAGTTCTGTCCATCTACTGCTGCAGTAAATATTTTAAGATAATATTCTGTAGAACTGGAGGAAAGTCAAACGTGAATATAACACACTCTTTTTCGGTCCCTATTACTGTAGGTTCAAACGATTTGGTGAAGGAAGTGCTACGTGTATCGCTGTGGGTGATACTGTTCAGTGGAGTAACCCAATTCCAATTTGCAGCCGTAAGAGTTTTTAAAAATCTAAACACTCAGGTTGTGGGGCTGAATGATAAATAATAAATTACTTGCTGCTAATTAAGAATTATCCACAGTGTATATTTGTAGCACCCTCACCTTTGAGTGTCTTTCCTAATTTAAAGACCTTTTCTAGTGATGTTCCTTCATGTGTTACCTATGGAGATAAACCATTAAGCTTTTCTTAGCCCCATTAGGATGAAAATTGAAAACAAACTTAAGTTTCTATTTTGCTTGGTCATTGATTATCTCACCATCCTTTCTGAAGTCAAATAAGTTACATAGGGGATTCCCACCACAATTTTGTGGAAGAAAATACTGCCATTGAGACAGTCAGTGTCACTCGACCCCACATCCTAAAACAATATGGCAATAGAACGTGTGTAAGCTAGGATTCTTACTTCAAACCTGTCATTTTCCATTTCCTGTCATTTTTCTAAGACCCAGAGTTATCTACATGCCTCTTCTTAGAATTATAGTTATTAACTGAGGTAATTATCTAGATGTGTTTTAAGTATATTTTTTCCTTAGAGAAGTAAAGTTATGCCATGAAAAAGAAGTATGGTTTCTGCACTTGAGAATCTTAACTTCTCAAAGAAAGACAGGACAGAGAAATAATATCATAAGTGGATATATCCTGTCAAATATATATCCATTAGAGACACATGTCTCCTGAAAATTGAGAGGAGAAAAAACATGCAGGCCTTTTTAATGGTTTATTTCTCTCATCTTTTTTTCTTTGCACTCAACATATCTTTCTGCAAATGGCTTCTGAAAACCCTATTGTCAAAATTATTCCTAAGTTCAAGTTTTTTGTGTTACTAAAAGTAGGAAATTAGAGTAAAGTTTTGGTAATTAAATTGGTTACATGTTTTTTGAAAAGTGGGTATAATAATACCTATTTACTAAATATTCTTCCTAGACCTCTAGCAACCAGGAAATAAATTATACATGTGATACAGTTGACACATTGCAAATGCCATAATGATATAAATATAGGTAAATACCAAATATGTGCAAAGACATAAAGAAAAGGGGGTGACTTAAGGTCCGGATTATTCCAGACTGTTAAATATAGGGTACAAAATTAAAAAATGATGCTAATTTTTTTGTTGTTGGTTTTTAAAATACTTTTAGGTACTTGTGGTGTTCCACCCGACGTAGAGTTTGCAACACTCTCAGTGTATTATCGGGACTGGGATGAGTATCCAGTCAACACCACTGTGGAATATATCTGCATTCCAGAGTACACACAAATCTCTGGTGTAAATCGAACACGAATTTGCCTTCCAAATTTAGAATGGTCCAGTGTACCTAAATTTTGTAGAAGTGAGTATAATTTTTAAAAGTATTCCCTGTGTTGGAAACTTGCCCCCCTGCCTCCCAAAAAAAGTATTCTCAATCATTTGGTGTTTGGGGGAAAGAGTGCATCTTCCTTTGTTCATGCAAGAACTGTATGTATATATATTATTATTTAGAATGATATTTCAACGAACCATGATAATTTATTTTAAATTAGACAAACTATGTGGTAGGAATACTTATAATACTTACTATATTTATTCACAAATTTCACACGTATTAATTTGATGTTACTCAAAATAAGTATATATATGTTGCTTTTTTTTTAAAGGTACAAGATGGAAATAAAGAAATCTAAGCATAGATGTATCAGAGTTTCAGATTATGAATTTGTATATGTGTGTCTGTTAACTTTTTCAAAACTTTTTGCCACCTTTATTGAGTTATAATTGAAAAATAAAATTATGCTATTTAAGGTATACATGATTTTTTATGCATTATACATTGTGAAATGATTACCATAATCAAGCTAATTAACATATCCACTACCTCACATATTGAGCTTTTTGTATGTGTGCCTGATAATTTAATGAAAAAAAATTTTTATTCTTTCCTAGGATTTCTATGTCCTGTTCCTAAACCAGTAATAAATGGTGAAGTCAGGTTACCAGGATTCAGAAGTGAAGGTTCACTGTTACTCTTCTTGTGTCATGATGGGTATGTTTTGGCATACTGAAACTCTATATGCAAAGAAATGAGAAAACAAATTAGGGCTAAAGACTGAAGATTGTTACTTTCTGACTGGTATTCACTAGCCGGTAGCAGCTAAAACAACCCCTCTCTTCAAAGATCCATTGTCATGAACTCATCACAGTTAAATTTAGTGATATGGAGCAAGAAAGGAAGATTTCTCAGACCACCAAATTCTCTAAATAGTTTTCAGTACATATATGATTCAATATAAAATTTTACAGGAGAAGACAGAAATTTGAGATGTTGATGATACTTGGCCAAATAATCCTTCAAGTGTTAAATATGAAACCAACAGTTAAGTGACCTAAATAATGAATCTGCATATGGGTTCTTCTGTATGCAAGCAAACTTATGAAATGTCATAGGCTAACGACAGTTATTCCTAGTGGAAAGTATTCTAACCTAAGTTCTTTTATAAGTTCTCTATGCAGGGAAAAGGAACTTATTGAGTACCACGAATGTCTCAGGCACTGTTGAAGCATTTACATTTATTTTCTTGTTTCATATACATAAATTAAATTATGCTTTTTTACTCTGTATGCATGTGTCCCTATTCTTTATAAACTGAAAACAACAGTATCAGTTGTCTCCTGTACTCAAAAGAAATGTCAGTTGGGTCATTAACATAAAATCTTGGACCAGGCATGGTGCCTCACACCTGTAATCCTAGGTCTTTGGGAGGAAGAGGTAGGGGGTCACTTGTGGTCAGGAGTTGAAGACCAGTTTTAGCAACAAAACGAGACCGTACACACACACATACACACGCAAAATCTAAGAAGTACCATGAGCCCTTTAAATACAAGTACATTCTATTATTCTATGAAGCCTGTATTAATCCTTTAGAGCTATTAAATATAAAATAGTCAATCATCTAATCACCCACTAATGTTTTAAAACACATTTATATTTTCTAATACATGCCCCATGTACATAAAACCTTTTCTACCTGTCATAATCATTTACCCATGCTTGTCACCTTTTTATATTTTTTTTTGAGAGTATAAATATATTTATTGTTATGCCATAATTATAGTATTTAACAGATAAGTTTTATCCTTCAAGGATTTTTTTTTTTATTTCGGCATATTATGGGGGAACAGATTTTAAGGTTTCAATAAATGCCCTTCCCTCCCTGCCCCACAAGTCTGAGTTTCCAGCATGACCATCCCCCAGATGGTGCACATCTCACTCCTTATGTATATATATATCCACCCCCCAACCCCTTCCTACTGCCCGATACCCTATTACTGTAGTACCTATGTGTCCACTTAGGTGCTACTCAGTTAATACCAGTTTGCTGGTGAATATATCTGGTGTTTGTTTTTCAATTCTTGGGATACTTCACTTAGTAGTATGGGTTCCAGCTCTAACCAGGAAAATATAAGATGTGCTATATCACCGTTGTTTCTTAGAGCTGAATAGTACTCCATGGTATACATATACCACATTTTATTAATCCATTCTTGGATTCATGGGCACTTGGGCTGTTTCCACAGCCTTGCAATTATGAATTGTGCTGCTATAAACATTCAAGTGCAGGTGTCTTTTTTGTAGAGTGTCATTGGATCTTTTGGGTAGATGCCCAGCAATGGGATTGCTGGATCAAATGGTAGATTCACTTGTATCGCTTGAAGGTATCTCCATATTGCTTTCCACAGAGGTTGAACGAGTTTGCAGTCCCACCAGCAGTGTAGGAGTGTTCCTCTCTCTCCGCATCCACGCCAGCATTTGTTATTTGGAGACTTTTTGATAAAGGCCATTCTCACTGGAGTTAAGTGATATCTCATTGTAGTTTTAATTTGCATTTCTCTGATGATTAGAGATGATGAGCATTTTTTCATATGTTTGTTGGCCATTCTTCTGTCTTCTTTAGAAAAGTTTCTGTTCATGTCCTTTGCCCACTTTTTTATAGGGTTATTTGATTTTTTTCTTGCTGATTTTTGTGAGTTCTAAGTATATTCTAGTTATCAGCCCTTTATCGGATACGTAGGATGCAAACATTTTCTCCCATTCTGTAGGTTGTCTGTTTACTTTCATGACTGTTTCTTTGGCTGTGCAGAAGCTTTGTAGTTTGATCATGTCCCATTTATTTATTTTTGTTGCTGCTGTGATTGCCTCTGGGGACTTCTTCATAAACTCTTTGCCTAGGCTGATGTCTAGGAGAGTGTTTGCAACGTTTTCCTCTAGAATTCTAATAGTTTCATACCTTAGGTTTAAGTCTGTTATCCAGCGTGAATTGATTTTTGTGAGAGGTGAAAGGTGTAGGTCCTGCTTTAGCCTTCTACAGGTGGCTATCCAGTTTTCCCAGCACTGTTTATTGAAAAGGGATTCTTTTCCTCAGCGTATGTTTTTGTCTGCTTTGTCAAAGATTAGATGGCTATATGAGGATGGTTTTATATCACATCTGTTCCACTGGTCAATATTCCTATTTTTGTCCCAATACCAGATTGTTTTAATTACTGCAGCTTTGTAGTATTGTTTGATATCTGGCATATTAATACCTCCCATTTTGTTTTTGTTGCCTAGAATTGCTCGAGATTCGCGGGTTCTTCTCGTTCCGATACGAAATGTAAATTCTATTTGGTCTATATCTGTATGAGCCTGATAGGATTTTAATAGGTATTGCATTGAATCTGTAGATCAGTTTGTGTAGCATAGACATTTTAATGATGTTGAGTCTGCGGATCCACGAGCATGGAATGGATTTCCATCTGGTTACATCCTCTGCTATTTCCTCTCAGTGTTTCATAGTTCCGCTGAGAGGTCTTTCCTCTCTTGGTTAAGTATACTCTAGGTACGTTTAATTTCTTTGTTGCTATTGTGAAGGGTATTGAGTCTTTAATTTGGTTCTCAATTAGATTGTTGTTGGCGTATACAAATGCCTCTGATTTCTGTGTATTGTTTTGTATCCTGAGACTTTACTAATTCATGTGATCAGTTCCAGGAGTTCTTGGTTGAATCCTTGGGTTTTCTAGATATAATATCATATCATCAGCAAAAGTGAAAGTTTGATCTCTTCTGCCTATTTGGATACCTATTATCTCCATTTCCTGTCCTGATGCTGTAGGCCAGGACTTCCAGCACTATGTTGACTAAAGTGGAGATAGTGGCAGCCTTGTCTGGTTCCAGTTCTAAGATGGGAATGCTTTCAGTTTCCCCATTCAGTATGATGTGGCTATGGGTCTGTCATATATGGCTTGTATCATTTTTAGGTATGTGCCTTCTATGCTATTTCTTAAGTGTTCGTATCATGAAGGGTGTTGATTGCAAAAGCTTTTTCTGCTCTATTGAGAGAATCATGTGGTCTTGTTTTTGCTGGTCTGTTCATATGGTGATTGCATTAATAATTACGTATGTTGACCATCCCTCGTTCCGTGGGATGAAGGCCCACTGTGTCTTGATGGAGTATTTTTTGATAGCGTCTGGATTCGTTAGCTAAGTTTGTTGAAAATTTGCTCTATATTGATTATGGATATGGGTTGTAGTTCTCTTTTTGTTTCATCCCTTTCCTGTTTAGATCCAGAGTGCATATTCGCTTCATGGAAGGTTCGGGGAGGCTTTCCGGTCTCTTGATGTCTGAGATAGTTTCTGCAACGATAGGTACTATTCTCTTGGTAAGGTGGTAAAAATTCGGTATAGAAGCCATTGGACTGGGACTTTCTTTTTAGGGAGATATCTTAATTGCTGTTTATTCTCAGCCAGTTGGATTGTTCTGTTAAGGGAAGTCTATTTGCTGTCTTTGAGCCTTAGCGAGGCCTGTGTGGTCTAGAAATTGTCATTCTCCAATTTAATTGTGTGAATAAAGACTTTTGAGTACCTCATAAAGAGATATTGGTGTGCCTCGTTTGGATCAGTGTGATATCTCCTTTTGTTTCTGGATGGAGGTTTATTTAAGTTCTCTCTGTGTCCTAACTGTAGCCAGACGTGTTCAATGTTGCTTATTTTGTCAAGAGAAACCAAACTTTTTGTTTTGTTAAATCTCCTGAATGCTCCTGTGTTCGAATTTCGTTTAGCTTGATGTTGGTCTATGTTCACTTCTTCTGCGGGTTGGTGCTGTCTGTTCTCTTTTTCCAGTCTTGAGTCGCTTTCATAATTGTCGTTTGTGATGCTTTTTGACTTTTGGTTATAGCATTAGGAGATAAGATTCCTCTCAGAATGGCTTACTGCTGCCAGAGATTTGATAACTTTGTCTCCATTGTTGTTTTATTCATAGATTTTGTATTTCCGTCTTGATTCGTTCATTTATGAAGTAACATTTAGGAGGAGGTTGTTGTAACTCACGGTGTTTGCGGTGTCGAAATGTAAGTTCTGTTAGTTGATTTCTACTTATATCCACTCTGATCTGAGAAAGGGTAACGATGTCATATTTCTATTTTTAGTCTTGAGATGGGCTTGTGTCTTAGGATATGGCATCTTAGAAAGTGTCCCTGATGCGAGAGAGAATGGTACTATTCAGTGGATATGTGGGTAGACTTTCTCTTGTAAATGTCACTCAGAGCCAATTGTTCTAGAGTTTTTTACAGTCCATTATTTCTTTATTAATTTTCTGTTGAGCATCTGTCTCGTGCCGTCAGTTGGGTGTTCGAAATCTCGCGATTAGAGGTGTGCTTTAATCATTGTTTAGCCTCCAGTAAGGTTTGCTTTATAATCTGGTGCACTAAGGTTGTGCATATATTATGAAATTGTGTATCTCTTCTTTGAACTTGCCCTTTCACCATGTATATAATGGAACCCCTCTTGTTCACTACTTCTGTTTAAAAACTAAATCGTCTGAAATTAGAACTGCCACACAGCTTTTGTTATTGCTGAATATTGCTCACCCTTTCTTTTTAGTCTATATGGCATCCTTGCAGTTATATGTGTTCGAGCATCATATCCTTGCCCTGTTTTTCGTTATCCATTCAGCCACTAGTCTTTGAGTGAGAGTAGCCATCACAATTATGAGAGAATGATAGTGGTAGGAGATTACTGATCATTCTTTGGTTGGATGTTGTGCATGTTTCTGTCTTGGCACTGGTAATATCTGCATTAAGTTATCTTGGTTTGTTTTTACTTTGATATCGTGGGTGATATTATGAGTTACGTGCGTTAAACGTGCTTTAAGAGTTCTTCTAGCCGTCTTTTGCTGGTGAACTCTGAGCCTGGCTTCTCTGAGCAATTCGTTTATTTCCTCCGTGTCAATACAAGCTAGTTTGCAGGAAATAAGCATTCTAGGGGATTGTTTTGTTTCAAAAGGATGGGAATGGTGTGGCAGCCGCTGCTTGTTGTAAAGTCTCATTAGAGAAGTCTGGTATCATTCGAATTGGCTTTCCCTTGTAGGTTTCTTGCTTCTTTCGTCTCACAGCTCTTAAAAGTTCCTCCTTAGTTGATACTTTGGTCACTCTGGAATGACTTGCATGTCGGACGTCTCTGTTGCATTGAATCTCAAGGTCCTCTGAGCTTCTTGAACTTGTATATCAAGATTGTGAGCAAGGCCTGGGAAATTTTCCTCTATTATATCTTCAAACAGCTTGTCCAACCCGTGAGTGTTGTCTTCTTCCCCTTCTGGTAACCGTATGACGTTCACATTAGGTTTCTTCAGATAATCCCACAGTTCTTGTAGGCTTTGCTCTTTTCTCTTGTTTCTCTGCTCTATCTGTGTGACGGTTTTATTTAGTTGGAGGGTGTTATCTTCAAGCTCTGAGATTCTTTCTTCTGTTTGATCTACCGTGCTCTTGAGACTTTCCAGTGTATATTGTAGTTCCCTGAATTGATTCTTCATTTCCAGGAGTGTGGTTAAACTTTTCTTTATTGTGTCTATTTCTTTAGTAAACTTTTTTTCCAGATCCTGGAGGCCTTTTGTGGTTTCTTTGTGTTAGTTATTGAGTTGTTCTTGCAGGTCAGTGAGTGTTCTTATGATCCACATATGAAATTCCTCCTCTGTCATTTTGGTTGCCTGATTTTGGTTGGTGCCCATTTCTAGGGGGCTGGGGCTCCTCTTTGTGGATGAGTTTTCCATTTGGTTATTCATATTTTCTGAGTTCCTTCGCTTTGTCACCTTTTTAGACTTCCTCTTTTCTTTTCCTTTAAATTGTTATTTGAACTTTATAAGCTATTCTTAGTTCTGTCCATCTACTGATGGGGTAAATATTTTAAGATAATATTCTGTAGAACTGGAGGAAAGTCAAAGATGGGAATGTAACACACTCTTTTTCCATCCCTATTACTGTAGGTATCAACTAGTTGGTCCACAATTTGTTTCCTGTATCGCTGTGGATGATGAGGTTCGGTGGAATATCACAGGTCAACAATGCACAGGTAAAATGTTTAAAAATCTAAGCACTCAGGTTGTGAGGCTTAATGGTAAATAATAAATTACTTTCTGCTAATTAAGAATTTTCCACTGTGGGCTGGGCACAGTGGCTCACGCCTGTAATCCTTGCACTCTGGGAGGCTGAGGCGGGCGGATCGCTTGAGGTCAGGAGTTCGAAACCAGCCTGAGCAAGAGCGAGACCCCCGTCTCTACTATAAATAGAAAGAAATTAATTAGCCAACTATTATATGTAGAAAAAATTAGCCGGGCATGGTGGCGCATGCCTGTAGTCCCAGCCACTGGGGAGGCTGAGGCTGTAGGATTGCTTGAGCCCAGGAGTGTTTGGTTGCTGTGAGCTAGGCTGATGCTATAGCACTCACTCTAGCCTGGGCAACAAAGCCAGACCCTGTCTCAAAAAAAAAAATAAATAAAAAAAGAATTATCCACTGTGTATATTTGTAACACTCTCACCTTTGAGAGTGTGTGTCTTTCCTAATTTAAAGAGGTTTTCTAGTGATGTTCCTGCATGTGTTATTTGTGAAGATAAATTATTAAGCTTTTCTTAGCCTCCATAGGATGAAAAATGACAGCAAGCTTAGATTTGTATTGTGCTTGGTCATTGATTATCCCCCCATCCTTTCTGAAGTCAAATAAGTTACACAGGGGATTCCCACCACAATTTTGTGGAAGAAAATACTGCCATTGAGACAGTCAATGTCACTCGACCCCACATCCTAAAACAATATGGCAATAGAACGTGTGTAAGCTAGGATTCTTACTTCAAACCTGTCATTTTCCATTTCCTGTCATTTTTCTAAGACCCGTAGTTATCTACATGCCTCTTCTTACAATTACAGTTATTAACTGAGGTAATTATCTAGATGTGTTTTAAGTATATTTTTTCCTTAGAGAAGTAAAGTTATGCCATGAAAAAGAAGTATGGTTTCTGCACTTGAGAATCTTAACTTCTCAAAGAAAGACAGGATACAGAAATAATATCATAAATGGATATATCCAGTCCAATTTATATCTATTAGAGACATATGTCTCCTGAAAATTGAGAGGAGAAAAAACATGCAGGCCTTTTCAATGGTTTATTTCTCTCATCCTTTTTTCTTTACACTCTTTACACTCTTACATATCTTTCTGCAAATGGCTTCTGAAAACCCTATTGTCAAAATTATTCCAAAGTTAAAGTTTTTTGTGTTAATAGGAGTAGGAAATTAGAGTACAGTTGCGGTAATTTATCAAGCATTTATTGATTGACACTCTTATACTTGGCAACATATGGGGTCAATTCATATGAAGGCAAATACAATGAACCTTACCATCAAGAAGTCTGCTCCTGTCACACCCACCACGTCCCCACTGTCGTGACCCATTTACAGGATGGAGGAAGAACACAGAACATAAAACACAAACACAGAACACAAAGAAAAACGCAGACACACGTACAAATGGTTGACTCGAGTAAAATATACCAGGTCAGTTTTATTTTTATACTCTAAAAGATTAAAGTTAGTTCCTTGTACATAACCACCCAGGTTTGGCACCGATAGCCATAATTCTGGAATGCGTAGCCTTAGGGAAGCAGATATCCCCTGACTCAGAATTTCAAGGTGGTTGCTCTAGGTATTAGGCATAGATCATGGACTGAGATTAGCAAGGATGGGCAAGTTGAGCCACAGGGGGCATTTCTCTTCCCAACTTATTTTAGGGCGACCCCTTAAGATCATCGGCCGAACCCCGGCGGCTGTGCCTCACTTACGTTGCCCCTCCCTTGAGGGGTCTTACCCGTCATTGACAACCAGCCATTTTATGGGGTGTACGCAGCAATCACAGGAACAATGTGTTTATCGTGTGGCCTCCAGACTCCGAATGTTGTGGGGCGGGATAGCTCCTGCTTACTTGCAACCCAGGTCCTTTGTTATGCCTGTAGGCAACAACCTTGTTTATTACAGGGACCTTGTGTGGAACACATTACTTTCAAATGCCCTGGGTAGAACACGTACATTACTCACTAACTTTAATTCTTAAACTAGGAATATATATGTCAGTCCCCTACACCCCTCCTTCTAGATCTACTAGTGCCTCTCCTATTTTCTTATTATGGTATTTTTAAAATTGTCACCATTCCTATCCACTACTGCAGTTTCCATTTCCACTAAACAATAAAAGGCGTTGTAAATGATAGTAAACTAAAGGTGGAAAGCAACAAGGAGCTGGGATGGTTTTTTTTTTTTTTTGGCCCAGGCAATGTGTCCTAAGGTCCAGGTAAACAGTCTCCCATGTGAGGCCAGAATTTTCACCAGCAAGTGGTGTCATGGATTCATAGGAATGTGGACACCAGCATATATTCTAGCATAAAAGAGCATCGGCACTGCAAACTCACTGTGTTTTTGTTCGTGTCTGCATCTAGGCCACAGTTCTAGGCCTTGTTTGGGGTCTTGAACTCCATGGAGAATATCCTGATGTTCATATTTTCGTCCTAGACTGTTCTATCCATCTCTCCAACTCGGCAACCACCGATGTCTGCATGCTGCAGCAAAGAGCCCCTTTTCCGAAGCAACCCCAGTGTCTTTAGCTGTCCCTAGAAAGCCCTACTTCTTTTACGATCTAGGTTTGATTTTCCACCAAACTTACTTTTTTGTTTTGGTCATACCAAAAAGAATGAGTGGAAAGTAAATTCCTAAATAGCTGCTTTACCTCAAGTATGCAGCCGTGGCCTATATATAAGCACTTGACATTGAATTGATGTCCATGTTTGAATATGGATGTGAACATATAGATATAAAGAAGGAAAGAATAATGAGCACATTCAAGAATTGTCCCTAGTTAACCACCATCAAACAGAGGTAGTACCTGTTCACCTCTGAACGAACTTCACTATCAGAAGGACCCATTTTCTTACCTCTCTGGCA